TGCGTCCAGCTCGGTCCCTGGTCAGGCATCAATATTTATTGATATTTATGATCGCTTAATCGGCAGATGCAGTGGAAGCTCAGTCAACATGTGTCTGTTCAGCTAGCAGGTCAGGCTGAGATCATTAATACTAATGGGAAATAAGGAGAGGGCCCTGAATATAAATAGTTACTATAATACTCTAGCATTAGGAATACACTGTTTGTTTGAGTGTTCCTTTAATTACTGGGTCCCCTCTATGTGTGGTATACAACTTTTAGAAGAGATATCAGCCATTTAGTGCTTGAAGTGTAGAAAGTGATCGTTTTACATATACAATTGCCAAACTGTCTGAATTATTTTTTAGAACTGTAATATTAAAAAAAAAATACTTATTTAACCTCCTTCTCTTGCAGTAAGGATCCTGTTAGTTAAGACACACTGACCACTGCTGCCCAACTCCTGTCTCTTGTTTGCTTGTTCCTTATTCCTGAAAATACTTGTTCTGGCGGGTGAGAGAAGACTTATTACAAAGTTTTTGCTTTGAAATAGCACATGATATTCATCTCACCAATTATCCAAACTTGTCCACTTTCATTTCTCAAGTCTCTTGACGTCTTTGTTTCTTGTTCAGGAATAAAGTCTTTCAAAAAAAAAATATTGGCAATTGGACAGGAATTTAATGCATTGTGTCATTCTTGGTTTCTTATGATTTGTACGAAATAAATATATTGGCTGTCTTGCAGTGTTGAAAATAAAGGCTCTCGGTTGTAAATCTCTGGTGTAACTTCAAGATACTGACAAACAGAGATAGAAAACAATCCATCCATTGTGATTAACCACTAATAAACTTGATACTTTATGGAACCCGAATATAATGAAAGCTTGAAGTCCGAATTAACCAACAGGTAGACCCCCAGCTGTTTTAAAACTAAACTCCATTGTCACTTTGCCAGCATTTACGCAATGCACTTGGGAGGTCAAGAAGCAGAAACTATTAGATGAACATATTCCCGCAACCAAGGCGAGCACTGTAGGCTGTCACAGCTCAAGGTGGATTAGATTCTACTTATTACCCACAGTTCAGTAGTTATCTATATAGTTTGATCTGTGAATAACATCAACATTTAGAGGCTGTCCCCTAGCCAACAATCATATTTTTACGCATCAATCATGGACAGAATTTTGAAAAAAAACTAGCATGCTTGTCCATTGTCCAGCTTGTTTCATTATACGTCCATATGGTGCTCCATAGTTATGAAACGTGGATGACCTCCAGATCGCCCAAAATTCAGACGCATTCCATTTAGTTTTAAACTGAATGCACTAGTCTAATATTTACATGTTTTATTTTGCTTTCCCAAAACCTCATGAGATTCCTTACAAATACCCTGTAATGATACTTACCCGGTCCTCGAGTTGATCAGGAACCTCCGAATTAAATAACTACTCGCATGGACCGAATTCCAGCATTGAGAACACTGCTTGAATTCGGAGAGCGTTCTTAAAGACACACAGGGGGCCTAACGTCTCCATTTCCAAATCGGAGTAGACCAATCAAATCACACATAACAGCATTTAAACTTCTCTGGACCCATTTACTGTGCCCTATCGTGGTTTCTATCAGTTGCCTTTAGTGAGTTCATTGCTGCATTATGACATTTCTGGTATTGACCTTACCTTTTTTTCCTGCCCCTGAGTTTCTATGTAACCCCTTTCTGGCATTTTTTTTTTACCTGTTCTACTGATATACTGTTTAGTGGACTCCGGCTAGTTCTCATTTTTGCTCACTCTCTGTTATCCTGACCTAGGCTTGTATTTCATTAATTTCCTTTCTATTGTATGTTAACCCCGGTCACTTCAAGGACCGATAATACGTCTATTTCAATCCAGTCTGTTACTGCTATCCTAAACTCTGCATGTTGGGGTTATTTCTTGTGACATACTCATATTTATAACACCATGGGTGTTTCACCCTTAGTTTTTATATTTTTGTCATACTAACTGTTGGCTCCAATTTTTTTATTTTTCCATAACTGGTATGATGTATTGTAAGAGAAGTGATAGCTCAAAATTTCTGAAAATGAATGAACAAAAATTTAAATAATGTAAATTGATATAATTTTAACTTTGTAGACATGTACTGAACTGCAGTCTAGGCATAACACGCAGGTTTTTTTTTCAAATTTTATATGCCCACCCTACATACTTTGTTTCAAATAAATGTTAAACATAAGGCTTTTAATTAACAAAGCATATTAGTAAAAAGGTTATTGTGGCACTCTTAATTAATAAACCCCCTGGCACTGTTTCTTATGTGAACTCGGAAGAACAAAGCAACCTGTGCTCTTTATGACAGGGGACTTCACAAGCTCTGGTACTTTCTTCTGGGTCGATTTGGAAAATAGTCACTGTTAGTAATAGTCCCTGCAATCTAAATTAGAGGGATACAATAGAAAGACGTTTGCGACTCCCCTAGTTAACTGAGACCTGAGAAAACGCTGCACTTTTCATTAGCCTTTTACACCACGTCAGATGATTAGGGAAAGAATTTATTATTAATTTGCCTGCTTTTTTTTTTAACATGCTTTTGTTTGAGCATTTCCTTATGTCTCTGTGGTTAGTAGGAGATCTGGTATTTATTTACTACATTCACACATAATGTGAGGGATGATGTGACAAGGCAGTAGAAAAACAAGCAAAAAAGACAAAACAAAAAAAAAGGGGTAGTTTGTAGAACCATAATAAAAACAATACATACTGCATAAGGGAAGGCCAGTTAAATATACCTGAAGTGGGTTTCCCCTTCTTCTGACTGTAGAATGAAATGTACACCAAAGAGAATGAGGAAACTAGAGACTAAGAGATTAAGGCAGATTATACACATCAAAATAATTGAAATACCAATGTCCAATGTAACCAAAATGTACAGAAACCAGCGCACGATGTCATACATTAAATATTGTCCGTTATACCTTTTCATAATCTATATTATATCCCTGAGAGCATTAAGGTGTAATTACCTAATCATTGCTGGATTGCAGCTTGCATCATTCCCAGCCAACCAATAACTCACAGATAGTTCTGATGTAACCATTATTGGATTACAGTTAGAATACACAGCTAGTGTCTTGTGCCTCTGCTCCTGGTGGGCCTCGACATGACCTCACACCTGGAGTAAGAAGGGCCCTGGAGGTCCTAAGCAGAAGGCGGTGGCCAGAAGTCCATAGATACATCTAATATATCCGTTTTCAGGATAGAATGTGTAAATATTCATAACACATTCCTTGTTTCTATCAAGTAGTGGTGTGTTTTCCTTCACGCGCACTCATTGGTAGATACATTGTGTACTTATTATCGCCTTATCAGTAGTACTATCTTATTTCAACAATTACTTATTTCCTGGCTCACTCACATAAATCTACTTGTTCTTTTATTAAGTCTGTTTTTTTTTTGTTTGTTTTTTAACATGTATTGTTAACATGTCTATAAAATGCAATAAAAAGGGTGGGGAGGATCAACACATGTAAGAGCACAGCAAATAGATAAATAAGTTATATATTACTATTTTTCACTAAATTGCTCAAGTAAATTACCGGTAAGTTGAATACCTAACTTTAACCCTTTAACCTTTAATCACTGCACTATACAGTTTTCTACCAATTTTAGCCTCAATTTAATAAGCTTTCCAAATAATTCAATACTGTTAAAACACCTTCCAAATGCTTTCTCTATAAATAGCCCAGCAGTCATTATTGATAAGTTCTGTAGATAAATTATTTGGGAAGTTTTTCTAACGGTATTGAGTCATTTGGAAAGCTTATTAAATGGAAGCAACACTTCTTGCGTTTAAATAAAGGATATAGATGTACCATATGTGCTAAGTGTACTACTTTACCAACACTGTTAACCCCTTAAGGATGGAGGCAATTGTACAAGTTCTGAACCAAAACAAAACCTGGAATTTGATATATATATGAGATATATAGGGCTTTCATTTCACATCAAAATTTAGATATAAAGCATAATTTAAAATATATAAAATTGAAGAAAAAAGTGTGATACATTAAGATATTTCGTTATTTTCCAAGCTGATCATCACTGAAAGGGTTAAAAAAAATACCCCTTTTTTTTTAAACACTTGTTTTTAACAGTTTGGAACACTGTAACACTGTGATCTTTCTGCCTCTCTTTCCTCAGAACAAAGTGAGAAAAGAGAGGGGCAGAGAACACTGTACAATTATTACTGTAACAATGATCACGGTGACAGGCTGTCAATGCGATCACGTGACATGGATCACCAAAATTGACCGCAAGGTAAATTGCGATCGGAATGCTGCGTGATTAGGCAGACCAGAGGGAGGCCAGATCGTTAGGACCAGGGCCGTCTATAATATGAATAGGACCCCGGGCAAAGCCTTTTCTTGGGCCCCCTGGGCCCTGTCACTGCACCCTCCCTCCCCATTACGCCCAACCCGCAATCACACTGACAGACATACTGACACATACACACACAGACAGACACATTAAAACATTCGCAGATACATACTGACACACACATACACTGACACAAAAATATATACTGGCAAACATTGACACACATTCAGACATACTGATACACACACAGACACATACATACTCACAGACACATACACTGACAGATATATTGACACAGACACACACAGACACATACACTGACAGGCGTTTTGACATACACAGACATACTGACATACACACACACACACTGGAACACAGTGAGACATACTGACATACACACACAGACATACTGACATACAAACACACAGACATACACACAGTATGTCTGTGTGTGTTAGTATGTCTGTGTGGTGTGTTAGTATGTGTGTGTGTATGTCAGTATGTCTGTGTATGTCAGCATGTCTGTGTGTGTATGTCAGTATGTCTGTGTGTGTTAGTATGTCTGTGTGTGTATGTCAGTATGTTTGTGTGTGTATATGTCTGTGTGTGTGTATGTCAGTATGTGTGTGTGTGTATGTCAGTGTGTGTGTATGTCTGTGTGTGTGTGTATGTCAGTGTGTCTGTGTGTGTATGTCAGTATGTCTGTCATAGACACACACAGACATACTGACATACATACACAAACAGACATACTGACACAGACATACTAACACACACACATACTAACACACAAACACATACTAACACACACACACAGACATACTAACACACACACATACTAAAACACACACACAGACATACTAACACACACACACACACACACACACACACACACATACTAACACACACACATACAGACATACTAACACACACACATACAGACATACTAACACACACACACAGACATACTAACACACAAACACAGACATACTAACACACACACACATACTAACAAACACACACACACACACACACAGACAAACTAACACACACACACAGACAAACTAACACACAAACACAGACATACATTTAGCCACCCTCCAGCTTCTTACCTTTTTATGGAGGGTGGTTTCCCTGGGGTCCAGTGGCAGGCTAAGGCAGATGGGAGTTCTTCTCTGGAACTCCCCTCCTCCCTGCCTTCCTCCTCCCGCGCGGCCATTATCTCCGGTGGGAGGAAGTGACACGCGGTACTCACTTCCTCCCAGCCGGTACAGGAAGGGGCCCGGTCGCGCTGTTTAAGCGTCACAGGGCCCGACCGGGCCCCTTCTGCCACATGCCCACAGGGTAGCCCTTAGTGCATGAGCCACCCGGGGGCCTCCTTAGTTGGCGGGCCGGTGCGGCTGCACCGCCGGCCGCCGGGTACATGGGGGCTGCTGAAATCGCGGGGCCCACGGGGCAGCTGCTCTGGGGCCCCCCCAGGAGCAACTGGGTCCGGGGCAGCTGCCCCGTTTACCCCGCGCTAAAGACGGCCCTGGTTAGGACGTGCTATGACACTCTAACATCTTTAAAACACTCATCAAACTCGGTGATGTGTGAACTGTGTTCGGCAGGTCATGGCAAGGGGCGGCAGCGGGTGAACAATGCACCCTTAAGCTGCCTGGAAGGGGGAGTGGGGCGGCGACAGCTCCAAGTAAACTTCTCCGGCTAAGGTGGATGCCGGGCTCTAGTCAGTGCATCCACCGGAGCTGGAGAAATTTCCTTGGAGCTGCCGCCGCCCCACTCCCCCTTGCAGGCAAAGGAAACCAATACTTAGGAATATAAACTTGTATCTGTCCCTACATAGATTCAAGCCTCTTACGTTTTTCAAGTACCAAGACTCCCTCTGCACTGCTTGCCTATCTACCTCCCACAATGTCATCAGTAGGGCAACACTGGTTCCATTCAATGTTCCTCATAGAGGAGCATTGGGGATCTTCTGTACATGAGTGCCAAACGATATGCACACCCAATGCTTCTCATAGTTAAAAATGGCATTCCAGCAAAGGCACCTCTAGTGGCTATTAAGCTACTAGAGGCGTGTCTAACCGTTCTAGGTAAACATAGCTGTTTCTGCAAAACAGCAGTGCTTCACCTTGTTTGGTTAGACCTGCAGGACCACTGCACCGGACTGGGTGACTCTAGTGGTCCTTTAAATTGTGGGAGAGTATTATACATGTATATTAATATATGCGTATTATATTTATATGTACTGTGTTCATATATATAAAAGAAGAATATAATTTCTACACAAAAATTACTATGACACCCATGCCACCCATGCATTAATATACATGGATAAAACAGACATACTGTTTCTCTCAACTGGTGTTCAGTTTCAATGGCCATGAGAGGATGAGCCCACCTGTGTTTCCTATTAAGGGTTAATAATGTATAGGGGTGTATATAAAAAATACCCCTCTCTGTCTCATTAGAGAGAAGCTCAAGGAAGCAAGGATGAATGGTTAGAGTTAGGACCCACCAAGGGGGGTCTGCCTTGACGTTGGCAGATGGGCTTACCCTCTCATGGCCATTGGAGGTAACTAAAAAACCTCCATTTGTTTAAAAATACATAGGGATTAAGGAGAGAGCGCAGGTAACTTGTTTTTCTTTGGTTTTTACTATATATTGGGCCTGATGTGTACTGGTGTCAATGCTGCCGCCCAGTGATGGGAGTGAGCGCAGGACTTATCTTTCTGCATTGAATCCATATTCCATACAGCCTTTATGCACATACACACTATACCCATACACTGGAATTCACACACACAACACGTGGATATGTTCACAGTCACACAACATGCAATCATTCACATCACACACTACATGTATGTATTCACAGCATGAGTATGCATATATTCACAGGCTGTATATATGTTATAAACGAATATTTGTAAACATATTTTAATACTTAGTTCACAGGTAACGTATTGAGTGGTTTTGTTCTATTTATTTATTTATTTATTTTTGCTGTGCAATGGTTAGATCCAAACATGCTCGAGGTACCCCAACGGCAGTCCTCTAGCGGTAAATCAAGCTGTACATTCAAGGTAGTATATTAGGCGTGCCCAATTTTATAGTAGGTAAATAAACATGCATGAAAATTCAAGATATGATAGCAGGAATTAGTGAGACTCATTTACATATGTGTAGATCATGCTAGACTTGCGGACGCTGATTAAATCGCATAACATGCTAGCTAGGACTACAATAACAGGTTAGGTACGCCGTCACAGATTATATAGATAAATAAAAACAGGCTATTAGCGGGTTTAACACCTGACTTACAGCTATGTTGGTTAGCATGAGCGAGTTTAGTGGAACAAGTGTCTAGGTATAAATGCTGTGCTAGACTCTCTAATGCTGACTGGAATTGTGTAACATGCTGACTGGAATCGTATAACATGCTAGCTGGGTTCATATTAACAGGCTAGTGGCTGGTGTAACCTCGAACGCCTCTCTTGTAGTTTAGCAAGTATTGGCATAAGCAGGCAACTAAAGACGCCTAAACATAAAAAAAAATGTAAACACATATTCAACGGCATTGTCTGTCTGGGTACAGACGAGTTAAAATGTTGCTGCATGTCCTATTGTGTGGCAAGGGTACCGTGCTTGGGAACATGTGGCACTGTCAGCCAATGCCTCGGCTTGGTGTAACCACATAGTCCCTGAGAGCTGCTGGGCAGTAGATCATCCAATGCCCCGTCTGGAGGCTGTGAGTACATGCGTGGGGTGGACGTCATCTGCGCCTCGGGACACTCTGTGTCCACATGAGCTTCACTGCGTATTCCAGGTGGGGTGCCCCTCCTGCCCTGAGACTTGATGAGAGTCGGTACCACCATTTCACAGACCCGTCGCTGTTTTGGGGCCAGGTCCTTCCCCGGTGTGGGGCTGCGTAGGGCTGCACTTTGGCGCTTCCATGGGTGTTTTGCTCTCTTCTGCATGTGTGTGTGGCATGTAGAGGTCTCACCCCTTATGACTCTCATCCCAGGCGGGCTGTCATTCTTGTATTTCATTGGTTTGGCTGTAGCTTTGCCCGGTTGGGGCCCCTCCGGCTGCACCTTGGTCTTGCGCTGTTCAGGGTATGTAGCTTTGGCTGGCTCCCATGCCGCGGGTGCTGTGGTCCCATTGCCGGCCCGTGGTGGTGTTGGCAGCTGGTGTCGATTCTCCAGACGGTCCCATAATCGCCTGCATATGGTGTCGAACCTCGCTTGGAAGACTGCGGCCCTTTCGTTGTGTGGGTGGTGGTGTTGTCAGCCATCTTAGTAAGGCCTCGAGTCTGCCGCCTGTCAGCCTTGCGACCTGAATCAAGTTGTGGGTGGGTGGTCACGCTTTGGGGGTAGACTGGGATGACCCCCACCGGTCCATGGGGTGGGGGGGAACATGGGCCCTGGCACAGAAGCTCAGTCGGTCATGGCGGCAGAAGAGCGGCTGTCTCCCCTGCACTCGCCATGTTTGTAGGCCTCAGATTTCTATCAGGCAAATGTTGCTCCAAATGGCTCTTAGTGGTATCAATTTGTGCTGCTGGATGTCGCCTCTTGTTTGGTGACTGTCTCGTATTGATAAATTGACATTTGGGCAGTGAAAGTTCACTTTATTCGCTGCTTGCAGCAGGAGCTGTTGAGGTTTGCTTCCTGTCATCTCTGCAGTCAGGCCCCACCCCTGTTTTGTTGTATTCTAAAACTTTTTTCACATTTAACGCTTCCTATTAGATATGTGCATTTGTATGTTTAAGAATTACAAATTTTGTCTTGGAATTTTCCTGCACTTGATCCGTCAGCCACTGTAGTGGCATAATGAATTATGCAAAGAACCCATACGATGAAAGAGCCACTTTAGTAATCATTTTTAAATCATAACCCAGGTAAGTCACAATGAATTACACCCTCTACTTTATTTCCTCTACTCTGGTAATTTGGTATGCAAACCTGGATCAACTAAATGCATTCTTTTCAATTCTTTTGTTTACAATTTTGCAATTTTTAATATAACATAAATAAAACTTATTTAACAAACTTAAGGGGGATAACAGAAAAAATGAAATAGGAAATGAAAAAATAAAAAGGTCAAACCGAGGTGAATATAACATGCACATTACAGATGACTTTGGAAATAAGCATTCTAGAAAATACTGGTTATTCAGGGGAAAGAAGTCTTTTAAGCTGCAAAAAAATATTTCCAGAAGCAAAAATTTAGAATTCAATAATATGCTGTTTGCAGGAAACAAATGTCTGTATCGGGACACCTACAGGTTTATTTAATAAAGTGAAAATTGTTGGAAATTCAAAGTGTATTTCAAATTATGGACCAAATTAACTGAACCGAAACAAATAACACAGTTGTGTTTTCAGCTTGGCTAATGTGGCCTAGGATTTGAAATTCCCTTTGAATTCCTCACTTTAATAGTCTTAAAGAAACACTCCAGACCCCTAAAGCATTTTAGCATGCTTAACCCCTTAAGGACCAAACTTCTGGAATAAAAGGGAATCATGACATGTCACACATGTCATGTGTCCTTAAGGGGTAAAAAGCTTTGTGTAAAGTTCAGATTTCTATAGAAATGTACACTTTTATAAATTATACTGGTTACACCCCCTAGCTCTTCGGGCAGACACCAGGTCCTGTTACTTCCTGGTTTGGTTAGCTTATCTGCACTGAACTCAGGAGGCACCAATTGTCCAGAACACCTGCCTTGCAAAGACTTCTCATTGAGCTGCATTGGGAAGTCTGTGATTGGACAGCCACAAAAAGTATGGGCGGGTTAGAAGGGGAGGGCTTGCAAAGAGATCTGCAGTTTTTGCTGTTTTAGATATAACTCCAATTAAAAAATGTATAATTAAATGCATGCAAGTTTTCATTGGGGTATATCTACTAAATTGTGATTTTTGTGTATTTTGTATTTGGGCAAGGACTGCAGAATAAAATTTTAGCTGAGGTTTTTTTCCATGTTGCTTTGCAGAGCAATGCCTGTGGCAGGTCACTAATGCGATATCACAGCTGAAGGAATAAAAGTCACAAGAAGCAAACACAAAGTTTCTGTATCTCACAGCAGAATGGAATTATACTATGTCTTCCAGGTTGGTATTTAAACTGCAGGTGCAGGTGCAACCCAGGTGCAAGATATCGAAGAAGGCTGTCAGATTGCTGCAAAACAGCGCCACTTTATGATGTGGAAAGAAAGGTAACTGCAGCCACAAGCAGGAAATAATATTGTGCCATAGTCCAATGTGGCTGAAACCAACGCTGCAGTATATATATCGGAGATTTAAAAAAACAGTCTACTGTCAAGTGCATACTTTAGGCAGAAATAGCTGGAGAATCAATTCCTGCCCTACACAGAGAGCAAACTGATGCCCCTAGCTTCGAGCTTATTATTCTTTGAAAAATCTAAGTAAGAGAGACAGTCTGAGTGATTTGGTAAAACAATACATGTTCTATGGAAATAATGAATTGTACAATTCATTATTTCTATAGAAGTAAAATGATTTTGCTTTTAAGAAGCATCTTGCTTATATCTGATCTAATTTTCCAGCCTCTTGGACTGGAATCCTGTTCTCTGTTCTCTGCAGATGCTTCTACTATGCCCTAAATCTATCAACACATTGTATTAATTTTAATGGTAATATCAATTTATTTATAACACACCATGGCAGTTAAGATTAAAATCGAGAACATGATAAAGTGTCAGTCGACACGAAGTGCGTTCATCGCCCAATCGCACTTGTGAAAGGGAGCTCACTAGTGTATGTTGTATTTGTTTATTTTTTTTTTCATTAACTAAAATAAATTATTTTTACCTGCATAGAATGATCATTGATGTATTTACCATGGTAACTATTATGTTTGTATTTTTTTTACTACGTTGTGTCTTGTAATGGCTATCCAACTAGTTGCATGGCTTCGAGGCTTTTACTCAGAGTACATAGATGTGTGCTTAAATCATGGGGGACTGATGATCCAAGCTCTTAAAATAGAAGATCCCCCTATTCATTTGTTTATATTTTAGAGTTAGAGTAAGTATAAGGTTTGGGGTAAGGTTGGTGTAAGGTCAAGGAAAGGTATGCGGTGTGTTAACTACCATAAATGAATTTAGATCCTAGAACTATAAGACATTAAGCAATCAGGACTGATACTATTGAAGCTATTTTAAGTTCTGTTTATTTGCACTTAATTTGTAAAAAGTCTTATAGTAAAACTTTGCAACCATGTGTTTTTTGCAATTTTAAAAATGTTATTCTTGCTTAATGTAGTAAATTCTGCCCTTTAAAAACAATATATAATATGTATGATGGCAGTTAAAGTGTTAAGAATTACTGATCTAAACAGAATCAGGCCACATGCTTTATCTTGTCCAAAAAAAACATGGGTAACTTTGAAAAAAACTGCGGTATGTGTATGAGAGCTTCAGCTACTGTGGGAGACCTTTGTCAGCATGATCGTATATTAAACTTCAGCTGATGTCACTACATCATATGGTGTCCAAATAAAATTGTTCCCCATAATTTAATACAAGAAAACGGATTCATAAATTATCCAGTTAAAATGAATCTATGCTGTAATCGGTTATGATAAATCATGACTTAATGGAAAGACCAGGGGCGTACCTAGAGCATTTGGCACCCGGGGCGGATCCTGTGCTTGGCACCCCCCTCCCCACAAAAAAAAAAACCTGTAAAAATTTTTAAAGGTTCTCTTTTTTTTTTCTTACAATTTGTAAAGACTCCTGTACCAATACAAAACCCCCGCCCCCTTCTACAAAATCCCTGCAGCCCCACACACACATTTACAGGCAGACAGTCACACACTCAGTTACAGGCAGACAGTCACATACAGTCACAGGCAGACAGTCACACATACACATTTCCTCCGTGCGGCCAGTTTATCAGCTGTTTGCTTGTGTGAGCTGTACTGGCCGCACGGCACCCTAACTACCATGGGACACTGTGCGGCCACAGCTCACACAGCCCCCTCCAGCCAGGGCCGGTGCAAGGATTTTTGCCGCCCTAGGCAAAAGTAAAGTTTGCCGCCCCCCCCCCATGTGACATCACAATGCCCCACCCATATGATTTTCCATGTTAACTAACGCCAGTGCTGCAGTGCCGCCGTGTTTACATTAAAAGGCCTGCAAGGACAGGCTATAGACACCAGAACCACTACATTAAGCTGAAGTGGTTCTGGGGACTATAGTGTTTCTTTAATGTGAGGTAAATTAGAGCTTAGTGCCACGAATAATATACTAGATTGCCTACTTACAACCAGATGAGGATGATGATGAGCTCTAGCTGCAGTCTGGCTCCACTGGTCTGGTGCAGAACAGGCTCTCTGGAGGCGGTTTGTAACTGTGGTCACAAAAATCAATGTTCTGGGAGAACGGGAAGCAGCTCCATTTTTTGGGGGTCCTTTACACAGCTCAAGGTCTGGGTCCCAGGGTCCACCTTCATGTTCCACCAATGAGTTTGTTCACAGGGGGTGGAGTGTGTAGGGGATGTCCTGATATGTGTGTAAGGAATGCAGTGTGTGAAATTGTGTTTGTATGTGTAAGGGCTGCAAGGTGTGTTTCTGTGTATGTATGGGATGCATTGAATGTGTGTAAGGGGTGCATTGAGTGTGTGTAATGAATGCATTGTGTGTTTCTGTGTGTGTAAGGGATGCATTGTGTGTAACGGTTGCATTGCTTGTGTATGTGTGTCTGTGTGTGTAATGCATTGTGTGTTTTTCTGTGTGCAAGGGGTGCATTGTGTGTATGTGATGAATGTCAATCTCTCCTCCCGCTCCAATTTCCTTCTCCTCCTCCCAATTTCTCTCTCACCCCCCCTCCTAATTTCTCTTTCCCCCCTCCTAATATCTCTTCCCCCCTCCTAATTTCTCTACCCCCCTCCTAATTTCAATTTCTCTACCCCCCTCCTAATTTCAATTTCTCTCCCCCCCTAATTTCTATTTCCCCCCTCCTAATATCTCTCCCTCCCTCCTAATTTCTCTCTCGCCCCCCCTCTCCTTTCTCTCACCCCTCTCCTTTCTCTTCCTCTCCCCCTCCTTTCTCTTCCTCTCCCCCTCCTTTCTCTTCCCCCTCCTTTCTCTTTCTGACCTCCTTTCTCTTTCACACCTCCTTTCTCTTTCACACCTCCTTTCTCTTTCACACCTCCTTTCTCACCCCCCCCTTTCTCCTCTTTCTCACCCTCCCTCCTTTCTCACCCCCCCTTTCTCCTCTCTCACCCCCTCTCTCACCCCCCCTTCTCCTTTTTCACCCCCCTCTC